GCATGTGTGCCGGCCTCCTGCAGCCCTTTGCCAGCAAAACCGGAGCTCGGGAAGGCTGCATGTGTGCCGGCCTCCTGCAGCCCTTTGCCAGCAAAAACAGAGCTCAGTTTGTGTTTGTGTGCGTGTGTGCGCGCGCGTGTGTGTGCGTGTGTGCGCGCGCATGCGTGCATGCCCCCAAGTTCCATTTTTGCTAGCAGAGGCACTGCGGGCCAGTCCTTTGCTATTTCCAGGCAGGCTCCACTGGCCGGATCTAAGCACCCCATGGGCTGGATCTGGCCTACAGGCCTTGAGTTTGACACACCTGGCTTACAACCTGCTTAAAAACCTTCACTTGAAACAACCAAATAACAACTGAGATTTACTAAGCTTACAAGCGCTTACAGTGTGCATCAGCCTCCCAAGAAATCATTGGCAGTTTGTTGAGCAATCCTAAGCGAAGATAGACCACAACTTATATACCTTTGGCCTACTACATTTCAAAGAGGAAGACAAAGGACAAGGCCAGACATGGTGTCAATTGCAGCATGACATTGGAATGCTTTTGATAAACCTATTTGAATGGCCTTCTCATTATTTGTCCGTTCCTACTAGGTCAGCATGCTAGCTATACTATTGATTTCTTTTAATGGAAGTGATACACAATCAAGGGGAAAATAATCCATAAGGACATAGAAGTGGCTGACAGGCTGGTTTTCTACCACAGTGTGGTGCAAGTGGAGAAGGGCTGAAAGAAAGGGTGGATTGGTGAATGAAAGAGGGCAACACAAAAACAAAGGAGAGAGGAAGGGAAGGTTCTCCCGTGGAGAAGCATCTTGACCTTTAAAGCTTCTTCGGATGAGTAAAAATAGATGTTTGTTCTTGGGCGGACTTCCAAATTAGCCAGCCTTTCTGTCTTTCATCTTTGCTTCTTCAAATCAGGTCAACGGAGCAACTGTCAATCTCCCAGTGAACCTCAATCAAGGAGAGACCGTCATTTTCCAGCATGGAGCGTATGTCATTCTGAAAACAACATTCAACCTGGTTGTGAGCTACGATCTGATGCAAAACCTCTTCGTCGTCCTTCCTCCCCAATACATGGGACAAACCTGTGGGCTCTGTGGGAATTTCAACCGGGTGGCCCACGATGACTTTGCGATGCCCAACGGCTCTTTAGCAATGGATGTCTTCCAATTTGCGGCCAGCTGGAATTCCGAGAGTAGCTGTAAGGATGTCTCCCCTCCTGGTTCTTACTCAGAATGTTTGGAGAAGGAACAGCTCCTCCAGGCGAAATACAAATGCTGGATCATTCAAAATCCCCAGGGGCCCTTTGCTTCTTGTCATTCCCAGGTTACTCCTGGGCCCTACATGCGTGACTGCATATTGGACCTTTGCATCTCTGCCTTGGAACACAGTGTCCTATGCCACTCCATTCAGAACTACGCAGCAGCCTGCCAACGACAAAATGTAAACATTTCTGCCTGGAGGAACGAGAGTTTCTGCTGTATGTATCTCATACCTTCATCCTACATGCCATTTTGTTTTCGTACTACTGTATGTGATCTAGGAAGACTAGATATAGATAATGCTCCCCTACAGGAGATAAATACACTTTTTAGAAAAGCGTGCTTTCTGAATCTAGCGCCAGACCTCCCATGAAGACCCATCTTATAATGTTCTGGTAACGGTCCCCTACTGTTGTCATCTAGAGCTTGGGTGGACAATATGTAGCTTTCCAACTGTTGTGGCATTGCAGCCGGTGGCCTTGGGCCTGTTTGGCTTGAATTGTGAGCAATAAGCACCATTTCAGGATCAGTGGTGGGATCCCAAATCTTTTCCCTCTGGTTCTATGAGAGTGCGCTTAGCGCGTGTGCACAGCACTCAAAGAACCACCCTCGGTGTCAGCGCTGGTGGGCTGAGCTGTGTTTTAGCTCAGCTCAGGTGTGGCAATGCGCAAATCAACTAAGCTAAAAAACAAGGGAATATAGGACAGGGAATGACGCAGGTGGGAGGGTGGGGCCAACCAGAGGTGGTATTTGCCAGTTCTTGGAACTACTCAAAGTTTCAGCGATCAGTTCTCCCAAACCAGTCCAAACCAGCTGAATACCATCTCTGTTCAGGATCCTGTACATTTTATTAATCTGGAGGCTTCAGATAACAACTTTCTTTAACCTAATTTACTGTTGTAGGAATGGCCAAAACCAGTATCTCCTACTCTTTCTAGCACACGTTCACTCTTCTCTCCCTCCCTCTCCCTACTTAAAAAAAAAACTAGATCTGGACTTCTACTCATAGGTTCTCCCAACTGATATCTGGAAATTGCTGCTTCTCAGATTATCCCATTCTTTCCCCCTCTAGATTTTCAGTGCTCAGAACATAGTCACTACAAGCTCTGCAAGAACTCTGTGGATAAAGAATGTTCTGCTAGTTGGCTTCAGGATATCCAAGGCATCGCTTGCTCCGAAGGATGTGTCTGTGATGATGGGTACTATCAGAGTGTCGACAAGTGTGTCCAGCTGGAACAGTGCGGTTGCACGCATGATGGACGCTATTATAAAGTAAGTAGGATTCCTCATCAAAGCCAACATTTTGTAATGTGGTGGAACATATACTTTGCTCACAGAAGACGTTTTTGGGAAAATTAGGAGAGTGAAGAAGTTGAGGAGAAAATGCCCTAAATCAGATGCCATCTTCTCAGTAAGCCCTGCAGAACAATCTGGAAAGTTGAATAGAGCAGAGGAGACTCAATGAACGTTAGAAAGAGGCAACATGAATGGAAGGTAGCCGTGACGATGTTTGTGATGCTGCTTTTCTTGTTTCCTTTTTTTCTTTAGCATTATGAGCTATATTCATCATGTGCAAAAAATAAATATAAAAAAATATTAATTTGAGCTAAAGGTCAAGGTTATTTTTCATCCTAACAGTCAGCACTTTGAATCCATCTTAATACAGGTTTATTTAAGCTTGTCTATTAAGATCCATTTGTTCGGTAACAATCATGTTCTTGCCTTCGTTCTCACCATTTGCTAATTTGACCACATCTAAATGTGTCATTTATCAATTAGCAAGATACGTCTTTTTTCCTGCGGAAGGACTAATAACTCCCTGGGCTGTTATTAATGAAGAAATTATCCATTAGATCTTACAAGACAGAATTCTAACACAATTCCTTTTGGCTAAAATTATGACTTATAGCCTTGTCAGATGACTAATTTCCTCAATAGTTTGAATGGAGTATCTTTCCGATCTTTACACAACACAAAAAAATATTGAAAAACACCCGCTCTGTTTTCACTGCATCTTCCATATTGACCTCTATGTTCTCCATGCAGATTGGAGAGCACATCTGGCTGCCCGGTTGTGCTAAAAAATGCCGCTGTGACCCCCGTGGCAATTTTCGCTGTTTCCCAGCTAGATGCAAGATGGATCAACAATGCACATTGAAGGGGGGACAGTATGGCTGCCACAGTTTCCTGACCACCTGCGTCATCACAGGAGATCCTCATTATTTCACCTTTGATGGTGCACTGGTGCACTTCCAGGGTATCTGTGACTATGAGGTCTCTCACACTTGCAACTCCACCCTGGATTTCTCCTTCCGAGTTGTCATTCAAAACCGACACTTCCAGAATCCCAGAGTTTCCTTTGCTTACCGGGTGGAAATCTGGTTTCAGATGCACCAATCTAGTTTCCATGTTTTCCTTGAGCGAGGCAAAGCTGTCCACGTGAGTAGCGATAGACTCATTGACTTATGGACTCATAGAATCATAGGGCTGAAAGGGACCTTGGAAGTCTTCTAATCCAACTTCCTGGGACAGGGGTATCAAACTCAAAGCCCGGGGGCCAGATCCAGCCTGCGGTGTGCTTAGATCTGGCCCATGGGGCCACTCTGGAAACAGTGAAGGACCATGTGCCTCTGCCAATGAAAATGGAGCTTGGGAGGGTTGTGCATGGCCCTCCCAAGCTCCATTTTCACCAGCGGAGGTTGCAGGAGGCCATCACAGCTGAAAATGGAACTTGGGAGCCAGTTTTTTCTGGCACAGCGCTTTGGCCACCACTGCTCTCCCAACACAAGTGATGTCAAGCTGGCCATGCCCACCAAGGCCATGCCCATCATGCCCCCCCCCAAGGTCAAATGCAACCCTGATGTGGCCTTCAATGAAATTGAGTTTGACACCCCTGCCCTAGGAGATCTTGTGTCATCCTGTACAAATGATTGTCCAATCATTTCTTTCTAGAAAACCTGGAGCACCCACAATTCCAGGAAGCAAGATGTTTCATTGATTAAACAACTTTTGTTGTTATTGTGGGTCACATATTAATTTGGGGAAAGCAAACGAAGTGAGTTTACTTTAAAAAAAATCCAAATCCCAAATCAGTGCTTCCCAAAGGTATTACCTATTGGGTAAATTACCCAAAATTGGGTAAAAATATACACAAACCCATGACCCAATGACACCAGGTATAGGTATTTTGCATAGTTTGGGTAAAAAGGACTTTCTGGGAAAGGAAAAAGTATGGGAAGCACCATGCTAGAACATCTCTGCTTGGTTGCTGACAGGGTTGGGTCAACTCCTTGTTTAGCAACGTAGGCAGTCATTCAAAGAAGACAAAGTTTTTTCCTTCCGTCCTGACCACTTTTTAGAGAGGCACGATTGAGAGCATTTTAACAAACTGCATCTCTGTTTGGTTGGGTGGCAGCAGCGCCTCAGATAGAAAGGCCATACAGAGAGTGGTGAGGACAGTCAAGAAGATTATAGGAAGCTCACTTCCTGTTATTCAGGATACTGCTTATAAGCATTGTTAGAGACCTCATATACCCACTTTATGGTCTTTTTCTATTGCTCCCCTCTGTGATGAGATTTCTAAGTAGCTATAGCAGGACTGCCAGAGTCTGTAACAGCTTTATTTCCTAGGCCATCCATCTGGCAAACTCGCAGGATTCTTTCTTTTCGCCATGTACATGTATGCATCCGATCTAGACTGTGTTGTTTCTCTGTTTCATATAATATATGTGGGTACATGCATAATTTTGTATTTATTTACTTTGTTATGGTTTATGTAGTGTATATTGCAGGTGGTGACCCTTTGAGAGCTGTATGCAACAAAATGTCATTTTTTTTAAATTGAAAATTTTGAAAAAAAAACTTTTACAAATATTTACCTCCCTTCCCCCCCCCCCTCCCCCCGCCAACCTTCCCCCCTCCCGGCTTCCCAGAACCAATACAGGGTATAAATCTTTAACAAAGATATTCTAAGATAAACTTAAAAAAAAGTTAGTATCATCTTTCATTTGAGCTTTAACTCCTCTTTGCTAGGCTAGCTCTAAACAGATTATATCATTCCTTGTTTCTTCAGTCATAAACTGAAAAAAAAAAAAAGATAAACTATCTGGAATTTCTTAGTCCCATATTTATTTTGTTTGAGTATAGTCAATCCATCTTCTCCATTCCAATTTATATCTCTCATTGGAATGGTCCTTGAGATATGCTGATATTTTAGCCATCT